AGTCAGTTGGAAATAGATTGTGACTCTTAATTTTGGGCACTGCCTTTGTCGGCGTCGCACAGTTATGCCGAAAACGAAAGTGGCGAAAAATAATTTCTCAGCTTAGATACTACTACATTTTTTACAATTATTTTTTTTTAAATGTGGTTTTCTAAGTATATAAGTGGTGTTCTGAATTCATAAAATTGAATTATGTATACAGAGTGTACTTAAATTGGCTGTAAAAAATTTAATTATATTATTTTGCCTTTAATATCATATTAATTTAGTACTATATTTTTCATAAAGTTTAAAAAATCAAAATAGTTTGTGTAAACACATAAATAGATATATAGGGTTTTATTTTCAGCCCCTTACAATAGAATTAGCATTTCTTTTTTAATATAATTAATCCTTTTTTCAGAACTAGTTAACAATAAGTATTACTTAAATTCAACTTAAAAAATATATTTATATTCATCTCCATGAGAATAAAAAAGAAACTAAATACCTCTGTATATATTTTATGTAGTTGCCTATTAATGAAAGTAACACTAAGTTGACTAAGTCATCTAAAAGACTGAGCGCTCTTTTCGCATTACATGGAAACAGTTGTTCATTTACAACCATTTAATTAAATTTAAATGTTCTATATAATTTAGAAATATCTGTAATTATCTGTGGTAAAAATATTATACTTAGATTATAATTAGAACTTAGTTACAAGAATTTAATACGCAAGAAAAAGAATTACAGTTGAGGGTTGGAACCTTTGGTGTTACACAGCAAAATAAAAACACTAAATCACCGCAATACACCAAAACACTTTTACTTTTACACTGGACGCGCGTTTCGCTAACCATGTTAGCATCATCAGCAGATGATTATAAACTAGTTTACTCAGTTTTTTTCAACAGTTTATAATCATCTGCTGATGATGCTAACATGGTTAGCGAAACGCGCGTCCAGTGTAAAAGTAAAAGTGTTTTGGTGTATTGTGGTGATTTAGTGTTTTTATTTTGCAAGAAAAAGAAACTAAAAATTATCCTAAAGCTTCTAGATAAGATGGATAATATATTTAAGATGGATTTAGCAAATGGATAAAAAAATAGAATAATTTAATCTATAATAAGTTTTCAGCCTCAGGATGCTGTTCTATTTTACTTGACAGAAGAAGTCTTGGTGATCTCTTACTCTGTCCGAGAAAATGAGTAGAAGATGCATGACATTCTTGATAAAAGTTTTTGATTGAATGTTGATGCATCATAGACACATTGACACATCCTTGTAGTTTATATTAACAATAATTATTGACAACTAATAAGATTTCTAATAATATTAAATTTAATGTCATATATAAGCACAAAACAAATAAAAACTTAAGCTAGTTAAAATTACACATTAAAAAATTATTTTTACCATGTATATCTATCGAAAATTAAATTGAATAACAGAAAATACATTAAAGTTTCCTTTCTAAAACTAATTAAAAATAATCAACAACAATATTTTACCTCACCTAAGAAACAGGCATTAATATACTGTAATAAGTAATTTATTTTGGGAAACTAAATCGTGGTTTTCGGGAGAGTTAGGCAACCTAAAAGGTATTTGTGAGTTAATGTTGGTCATGAAACTTTGGTGTTATGAAGAAAAAAGGCTTATAATTGTAACCTACGTCATATTTTTTGGAGCAATTTGGAGCATTTTGTGTATTAGCTTACCTAAAATGTGTAAAACTTTCCCGTAAGACCCGGTTGAGTAAGCCCCAGAAATAAGCGATTTTACAGATGTGATTTTAAATTAAGCAGTTCTAAATTACATTAAGTTCTTTTTTAATTTTTTTATGGTACCAAATAAGTCAAAACTAGAATTACCATGAAGGAAAACAGTTGAAAATATTGGACTTTCTCAGAGTACCATCAGTTTTTAGCTAATTTATCACCAACGTTAAACGCACTAATTTTATTTAATCAAAATATTTTAGCTTCAGCTAATAATCTTATAAGCGCGAACATTTCTTATCAGGGATTAATAATGAGCCCGTTTTATTCGAAAACTTTCGCAATTCTGAAAATATGGACTATTAAAAAGTATACGAGTGAAATTATTATAATTAAAAAAAATACTTCTGATATTTTGATTTTTTGCCGCTATTGGGAACTTCTGCATCACTGTTTCGGCTGGATAAATGCCTTAAGAGTCTCACTACTTCCATTTGACTTCGGAAATACTATACCTTATGGTTCAAACTTATGACTATGAGGTAAAGCATTGCGGGCTTTACATACTAATAAAAGTTAGTCGAGACACAATTACAGCCTTCCATCAAAAGTGACGCATAGAGATTGCTTCTTGTAAGAAGCAGAATGATCGGCATTTAACAGATAATAATTTTAAGAAATAAAATGGCATCTATTTTACAAAAAAACTAAAACTAAATTTGAACGTAATCGTCGTCTGTTGATTTCTTTGACAAACTCTGTTGGATTATAAAGTTTTTCATAATTTCTTGAATTTACCAATAAAGTAACCACACTATACATAAATTTCAATAATAGAAAATAATTTCGAACACGATTACGGTTCCGCGAAAGTAAAATTTAAAAAAATGATGCCCAGTGATGCTTTGATATAATAAAGAGAGAAACAAACAAACAAAAAAATTATTCTGTAGATCATCAATAGTCAACTACCTATTAATTTTTTGAAATCTGTTCCTTGTACAGGGTGTCCCATTTTGGTTGAGATCATATGGTATCTCCGTTATTAGTAAAGATAGGAGGATGCGGAGGATGCGGTTGCCTGTCCCACTTTTTTGTCAAACGAAAGATGCTGTAAACAATATTTTCATAACCCCCTTCGTTTCTGAGCTACAGGGTCTTTTCGAAAATTTTGCAATTTGGGACAGCCCCCGTATCTCCGTTATTGTGGATGATATCGAGAAGGTGAAAACTGATTCTTGTAGAACTTTTTACGTAGAATGCTGTGGCATAGTCTGTTTTTCTACGGAAAAATATTTTTGAAAATATGAACTAAAGTTATGTTTTTTCAAATGGAACATCCTATATATTTATAAATCATATGATCCGTTGTTATGAGCTTCTCAAAAATATATATAACTCTCTATTTATTTTCACTATTTACTTCAATATTTAAAATGAATCATTTTTTTATTAGTAGGCCGTGATAAATAACAAAAAAATCAAAACGGTATTTACTAAAATAGTCATACACACATTAAAGTTTTATTTGGGATTGATATATTTTACTTTTGAACTGTTACCACTGAATCTGAATACATATTTTTCTTCTTTATAACGGAATTTATTATAACGGGATGGGTTTGCAAATATCTAAAAGCTTGTATTACTAAAGCATTTTCCATGTGTTCGACATTGTTGTAGTTGCCACGATATATTTCATATTTTAAAAATCCCCAAAATCAGAAATCGAGAATGGACAAATCCGGGAATCAGGGAGGCCATCATATGGGTCAATTGGTTCCAATTAATTAATTTGAGAAATAATAATTTAACAAAATTCTAATATTTTCAAAGTTGTTAAGGAAAGCTTCATCTTGCTGATATTTCACGTAAATTAGCTAAAGGAATAGTTGAAAGTTCCGGTACGATAACTTCCAAGATTTACAAATAGCGGTAGAGAGTTAAGTATTCCTAATATATAAAAAAAATATTAGTGGCTCTTAAAATAAAATAAGAGACAGATAGCAGGATATACCCTGTAGCTCAGAGGCAAAGAGGGCTATAAAAATTTAGTTTACAGCATCTTTCGTTTGACAAAAAAGTGGGACTGGTTTGTGCAAACCGCATCCTTTTATCTTCACTAATAACGGAGATACCGTATGATTACAACCAAAATGGGACAACCTGTACAGTCTTTTCGACTCTATTCCTTTATTATATGTTTTGATCATTCTCGACAATACTAAGAAAAATATCCATTTTAGGAGAATTGTGAAATATTTAGTCTTGTAGGAAGATTACTACAGATCAGCCACCACTGGATAACTATTATCAAACTATTATTTCACACGCGGACAACAAGTCTAATAACGGCAATGACTTCATCCTCAATTAATCATACAACAGACTTTTTTTTAATTTCAATTTCTTCATACCAAATTACATGTATCGGATTATTTATCAACAGTAAACAAACAACACTCGCGGATTTATTCAGAAGAACAATGTAAAGCAATAAATTTTTGAGAGAGAAAAAATGCGATAACCCTCGTAGGGTCATTGAAGTTTTTGTAAAATAGAAATTTTATTAATCACATCCTCTGGAACAAGATACCCATTAAAAAAATATTAATTATAAAGAATTATTGAACAATTTGTAAACCTGTATAGCGAACAAAGTAACGGAAAAAATACAGAAATAAATTTTTCGATTTAACAGACGCCGCATTTTTTATGACAATTATTTTTTTCGATTTTGACATTTCATATCTTATGGAATTGTACAGTCAAGGCACTCACAGATGCTCAGTTTTTTTTACACAAGCCGCCTGTGCAAACACGACTTGTACAGGAATATCGGCACGTATGTGGGAATTTTAAGGCTCTCAAGCTGGCTGTGCAGTAGTGATGCGCATTACGATTCTTTTTAATGAATCGAATCACACGATTTTATTTCTCATATCGAGTCGACTCTTACGACTCGATAAACTCGACTCTTACGACTTGGCGTTACGAGTACAACAAGCGAAGGGCGAAAAACCGTATTTTTAAATACGAGCGATATTTCGCTCGAGCGATCGCTCGATTATTGAAATCGGTTAAAACTCGATTATTGAAATTAATCGGTTTTTTCCATCACTAGTTAGCATGTGGTAAAGAACTGAGCGTCTGTGGAGGCTCTTATATAAATCCTGCTTATTTAGCTAGGATTTATATTCACGGAGAAAATTTAGAAAGATATTTTAAAGGAATAGTTATTACTAAATTCACTTTATTCTATAATATAAATTATAATGCTGTTACTATTTTTTACAGGCGAATCAAGAACTTTTGGATGTTCGAATACACGAATACAAAACGAACGAAATCGACAGCGAATCTTTCGTAAACAGTTTCAAGGATGAAATTGAGCAATCTTATGTAGTGGTGGAGACCAAGACCACCAGAAGTCGCAGAGGGAAGCGAAATTACAAAACTTGTAAGTATTATTTATTCAGATGGAGCGGACCTACCGCGTGTTTTTATATATGGGTTTATGTATATGGCCATCATCCGGACGGAGCATACGCGACCCATGTGAAATTGTTCATATAAACTCATGGTACTTGCTCGAAGTCGCGGACGCTCCGCTCCATCTGACAGCGTTATGGATTTTTTTTTAACCTAACCAAATTTGAGTCTTAAAAAAATCTGGGGGACAGAAATCTAAAAAACAGAAAAAGTATTTCTGATAAAAAATTGTTTATAGAGATACTCTAGTCTTTTTTATACCGAATGAGTCTTAAATAAGTGCAAATATCTTCAAGGCTTATAATATCGATAAAAGAAACATATTTTCTCTTTACCGTTTTTCAAATATCTCCAAAGTAACCGAGTTATTTCACTTCAAAATAAAAAAATATATATGCTACAGGTCATGTATGAAAACAGTCAGTATGTACAGGGTGGCCCATCGAAAACGTTCCGCAAGGCATAACGGCCAGGGTAATTTTTTTTTTCAGAAAATTCAAAAACACGTCAATTTTGTTTGTGAGGGGGACAACTTTTGCCCCAAAAATGATTGCAAAATCTTCAACCCTCTAAGCGGGGGTGTCATTCCCCAACTTTTTTCAAATGGGAAGGGAGGTCAAGTGGTACCGCAATGAAAAGGGCTTTTTATTCTCTATACTTTCCCGCTTCGTTTTTGAAAATCGGAGAAGAGAAAATATGAAGTATTGAAATTTGAAAAGTTTATTTAAACATATATCAGAGTAAATGATAAGGATAAATTCATTCGACCAACTTGCTGTTTTTTCTTATTATTTCTAGATGTTTACGCATTTTTTCACTTGCCACAAGGTTGAACGATCAGGTGCAGCAGTTGCTAGATAGCTGTTCTGTGACTTGTGCGTTGAAGTTCTTCTCAATATCGTTAAACTTTTTAACAATTATGGTGTACTCACTTGCAGAAAAAGTGGAAATAATCGAAAATTATTTTAAAAATAATGAATGTAGCAATCGGGTTCCGCAGATATTCAATGAATGCCATCCTGAAAAACACCTTTATGGCAAAATTGTTTGCGAGTTAGCAGCAAAATTTCGCGAAACTGGTTCCGTTATGAACAAAAAGAGGCAGAGGGAAAACCCTGTAGTAAATGAAGCTATGGAGATATTCGTATTGGGCCAAGTTGCCATGGATAGTACGCTGAGTACAAGAAAATTAGCCAATGCAAAATTATCCGGCGTGAATCGTAGCAGTGTCCAAAGGATATTAAAAAAACACAAGTTCCACCCGTACAAAATTCAGTTGGTACAAGAACTCAACGAAGACGATTTTGATCGTCGCTTGCAATTTTGTGAAACTTTGAGTGAACGAGTTGATAATAATCCTATTTAATGGCGGATAACTGTCTTTTTGAACGGTGTAGTTAATCGGCATAACTGGGTACTGAGGGGGTTTTCACGAGGTGTGCACACAAAACCCTCAGAAATTGAACGTGTGGGCTGGTATTTTTGGAAATTCTATTTTAGGTCAGTTTAACGATATTGAGAAGAACTTCAACGCACAAGTCACAGAACAGCTATCTAGCAACTGCCGCACCTGATCGTTCAACCTTGTGGCAAGCGAAAAAATGCGTAAACATCTAGAAATAATAAGAAAAAGCGGCAAATTGGTCGAAGGAATTTATCCTTATCATTTACTCTGATAAATGTTTAAATAAACTTTTCAAATTTCAATCCTTCATATTTTCTCAATGACTCGACCGATTTTCAAAAACAAAGCGGGAAAGTATAGAGAATAAAAAGCCCTTTTCATTGCGGTACCACTTGACCCCCCTTCCCATTTGAAAAAAGTTGGACGATGACACCCCCGCTTAGAAGGTTGAAGATTTTGCAATCATTTTTGGGGCAAAAGTTGTCCCCCTCACAAACAAAATTGACGTGTTTTTGGTTTTTTTGAAAAAAAAAATCCTGGCCGTTATGCCTTGCGGAACGTTTTCGATGGGCTACCCTGTATATGGTCTAGGTCATATCTATAAGACTTAAATTGATTAATATACTGTTTATATTGTAGATGGAATGGTATTTGTGGTGTAAATTAGTAAATTTAAATTATAGTGTAAGAGCGAGTAAGAAAAATAAAATATTTTTTTTTTATATAGCATAATATATGAATGGTATTAATATCAATTTAATATTCAAACAACATAAACAAAAGAAGCTAAACTCACCTTAGATGCCGGGACACTTGTGTAATCGAACTAGTGTACTCAAACTCTTGTGTAAACACTCACTCTCTGATCACGCAATTTGCAATCTATAAAAATAAAATATACTTGAGCATCACTAGAAAATACACATGATCACATCACCATAATCGAGTATATAAAATAGTTAAATATTTTTGTTGTTTCCTAGCTAAGCGACAAGGCGTCTTTCCCACGCACAAAAGGGATGGCCATAAAGCGACATAGCATAATATTGTTGTTCCGCAGCTAAGCGACAAGGCGTCTTTCCCACACACAAAAGGGATGGCCAAAAAGCGACATAGCTTAATATTGTTGTTCCGCAGCTAAGCGACAAGGCGTCTTTCCCACGCACAAAAGGGATGGCCACAAAGCGACATAGCATAATATTGTTGTTCCGCAGCTAAGCGACAAGGCGTCTTTCCCACGCACAAAAGGGATGGCCACAAAGCGACATAGCATAATATTGTTGTTCCGCAGCTAAGCGACAAGGCGTCTTTCCCACAAACAAAAGGGATGGCCACAAAGCGACATAGCATAATATTGTTGTTCCGCAGCTAAGCGACAAGGCATCTTTCCCACACACAAAAGGGATGGCCACAAAGCGACATAGCTTAATATTGTTGTTCCGCAGCTAAGCGACAAGGCGTCTTTCCCACGCACAAAAGGGATGGCCACAAAGCGACATAGCTTAATATTGTTGTTCCGCAGCTAAGCGACAAGGCGTCTGTCCCACGCATAAAAGGGATGGCCACAAAGCGACATATACGAAGCATAGACAGTCAAAATAATCATCAACAATGCAAACCGCATCGTCTAGGAAACGACATTCTATACATGCGGTCAAGAAAAGTCAATTAGAGGTTCAAATAAAATATTATTTCTTAAAATAACACAATTTAATATAAACAATTTTTTAACGGAAAACAAGACTCTGACAATAGTTTGAAATTTTTATCTGCTATATAAGTCTTAATATTTTTAAAAATAGTTTATATGGAATGAATTCATCATAGGAAAATTAATTTTGTATATATCATTATATCATGTGTGAACTCTTTTGACGGTAATTTACAAAAATATTCTTTCAATATGTAAGAAGGGGTGTTATAATTTTTATAAACGTACATGAACTTTATGCAATATTATTTTATACTCGTTATTGGAAAGATGTGGAATATTTTTTGAGACTTTTAAGATATTTTGTGATATAAAACTACTTTTTGATTCCCCATAACTTTATGTTTTTCGATAACTAAATATATATAATTTTCTTCTTTAGTTACTAACTTATTAGCATATATCTGTATATTAAAGATTAATTGAAAGAAATATACATAGATATTAATAATTAAAGATTAATTGAAAGAAATATACATATACAGGGTGCTACAAATTCGAGGTACGAGCATTGATATCTCGGTAACCGTAAAAGATACGAACATAATTAAATTGGGGCAAAGTTGCGCCCATTGGGATGTCCACCAAGATGCAATCAAAAAAGTTTTAAAAATTTCAAGGATGGCTGGATTTCAACGATTACAATGTATCAGCTAATTTGAAATTATAAAAATACTTTCAGATAACCCTAATAAAGTGGCCATGAGAATGTGCAATTAATTTTTTGATTTTTTAAAAAACAACGACAGGAAAAAATTATTTCTATTTATTTTCAAAAAAAATTTGTTTTTTCCAAAAAACTCAGCAATCCTTGAAATTTTCAAAACTGTTTTCATTGCATCTTGGTGGACATCCTAAAGCGCAACTTTGCTCCAATTTAACCATGTTCGTATCTATTACGGTTACTGAGATGCCAATGCTCGTACCTCGAATTTGTAGCACCCTGTATAGATAGATATACACAATCGTCACTATTATTTTTTATTTAAGATAGCTTAGCAAAATAGGTAAATTTACTTCATACCTTTTAACAAATATCTAACTGTTTTGTCTTCAAATTGAGAATAAAATACGTCCTTACTACAAAAATGAAAGAAGTAGTAAACAAACGCCTGCACAGTCATTTATTTTTAGTAAAAAACAACTTGCATTTGTAAATAATAACGAATATTTCCACTTGTTTCAGATCACACGCTCTGTCACTTCAAGATCTGCCCTATGGGCAAAAGGAGGCGTGTTTTGTAGCTAAGGGCCAGAAAAATGCCGTTAATGATGACAATATTTTTAAGATATTTACGCTTTATCCGCAACTATATGTTTTCTTTTTTTTAGCATAATTAACCAATTGTTTCAAACGAATACAACAGGGTATAAAAGTACAAAACAATTATTAAAACAAATAAAATTCAGAAATGTATGTTATAAAAGATTGTACCTATACACAGTGGAGAATCTAGATTTCTTTTGGAGATTCTTTTTGTACCAAAATCATAATTTTATCGAGTTTCAAAAACGACTCGCCCTAAAAACAACATCATAGGTGGCTCAAAGTGGGATCTGGGCCATAGAGCCGCCACAGCCTATATACAGAGATTATTTCATTTATTAAAGTTCGACGATTATTCTTTAAAGTTTGACGATTGATTTTTTCAAAACTAGTAGCTTTTTTCTTTTATTATATTCAATAAGATAGAATTATAGTTATCGATAATTATAAGTTAAAAATGAATTAATAAGCAGGTCTATTATGAGTCTTTTACACATACTGTACTGAGGCAGCTTAAATATCAAACGTTCGACATTATTGTAAAGCTGTATTGAGTTGTTATTTTTTGAAATCATTTTATTTATTTGTTAATTATGTTTTACGTATATAACTCATTATAAAACATGGTTACCTATATATATTTTGAAAATAATAATAAAAACATTTTAAGTACATATATACTTAACCTACGTATGTAAAATGTAGAATTGAAAAACGTATGTTTAAGTATTTAGTTAGATAATATATTTATTTGTTGTAATTATATGAAAATCTTAATATAGTTATTGTAAATATTAAAATAAAAATCCTTAAAGAAATAATTTTAAAATAATGTACATAGATATTATCTTAACTAAAAATTATATGGTAATATATAAACAAAATAAGTATGCGGATATTAAATTCTTCTAAATTATACATGTTAGTATTATTGACAGTATGTTTTAGTATATATTCTTATGGTCTGAAGTGATATTATTAGCAAATTGTAAGATCTGAAAGCAACATTTCAGGAATATACTTTTGTACCTATATTTTTATTATTTTGTATTTTTCTATTTAGTATACTAATATTATACGTTACTTTATATTTTTTTTTATTTTAGAAAATTTAAAGAAAGCAACAAATATGTTGTAGTACCAACTATATTTTTTATTTATATTTCACAATTGTTCCTTATAAAGTATCTAATAAAAACATAACTTTAAAAATACTCTTATTTTATTTGGCACTTTTAGTAATCAAAAAAAGTATTATTTGCTAAACCCATTTTACTTAAAATGATAACTTTAGTAAAATACCTAATAAAGATTATAGTTTTCTTCATTGCGATACCTATAAAATACATATATTTAATTATATCTTCTTATTTTTTATAAACTAGGTATTACTTTGTGGTTATATGAAATTACCTATATCATTATTCATCAATATAGTTCATTTAACAAATAGTTCCTTATTTGTGTATAATGAAATATTCTCTGCTTCTGAATTAGTTATTTAGCCAACTAGGTTTGTTAGGTTTTACCTATTCCTTATATTCAGCCTTATAAGCCACTAACATAACTTAATAGTGTATGATATACATTTCCTATTAAAAAGTTTTTATCTTTATTATATTATAATGTAGTATGCATTCTTTTGCGAACTGAATAAAATAAACTTTAAAAAATAAGAGTCAGTTTATTTTCTAATAACTTTTTTTAAAGGTTTAATAAAAAATACAGGGTGATTTAAAAGATAAAATTTATTATCGTTTTGAGAATTACGAAGAAATGTAAAACTGAACATATTTAGACAATAGTAGGTATATAACAATATAACATAATTTTGATTTAGATATAGCAACATAATATTTTTTATTTTATTTTTAATTTCAATGTAAAATTTTATAACTCTATTGTAATATAATATTATATACCTAAAACAAGTAACTTTGGTAATATTTTTTTATTTTTAGAAAAAAATATTAGCTTTTAGAGTAATTTCAAAATTATCATGCCATTGTATCTAAAATCTACTGAGTACTCTAAATAAGTAGTAGAGTTTAATAGAGATGAGAAAAAGATATAAGATAACCTGTCGCCATGTCGATCGATGTGCCATTCTTATCTCGAAGCAACTTACGTCAGTTTTAACCCCCCTGAAACTTCGTTATTGATAAAGCAATAATCAATAATCTTAATTCTGAATGATCAAGAAGACAGCATCCTCATCATTTTCAGCTTATTCAACCATTTTCAATTATGGTGTAGCCTCCCTCCAATATTTAGATGCCCTCTTTGTAGTAGGGCTCATTGTTGACTATTGTTGGCTATGCGGGCCCAAGTCATCCCTGCTAATTGTCTAACATCATGATCCCATCTCAAGTCTTCTTCTAGATCTCTTAATTCCTCGTGGGTGCCATGCTGTAATTTTTGTTATCCATCTCTTGTCCGTCCTTTTCGCCAGATATCCTGCCCATTGCTACTTGAGGGATTTCATTCATATCTATTACCTGGGTCTTTTGTCGTATCCACTCTTTTATTATTACCATAGGATATATTGAGCCGAAAGCCTTCTCAAAGTCTATGGCTAGTTGAAGTTCGTATTATTTTGTTCGTCTTATAGTTTCTCTTATCAATCGTGCTGAAGTCGCTTCTAAAGCCTGCTTGTTCTCGTGGCTGCGCAGCATCTAGCGTGTTTTGTATTTTGTAGTTACAAGAAGACATATAAATTGTCAAAAGCTAGCTATATTGTCAAAATATATTAAGCCAGAAAAAAAAAATGACTTGCAAAAACAAACGAGATCCCCTCTTCTTCCACTAAAAAAAGTTGTGAGATCTTGAGTTGTGCATGTAAAACCAAGTCAGTTATTTTACTTAGTGTCTTTGAAAGCACCTAATCAACAACTTATAGTGACCTGTCAATATTAGACATTTTTTAGCCGACCATACCAGCAGGTATGGTAGGCTATTAAGATCGGCAAAAAACTGTTTTTAGTTTCACTCAAAATGAGTTATTTGGGTCATAAATGACCTAAATACAAAATATTTTCATGGTGTCTGTCTGTCCGTCTATAACACGATAACTCAAAAACCGCTAAACCGATTTTAATTAAATTTGGCACAAAAATACTGTGGCACCAGAGAATCTGGCCATTAGTTTTTATAGTGGGGGTGGGGGGTTGGTAAGAGGGTATGGGAGGGCGTTAAAAATTTTAAATAATCGTAACTCATATTATATTAATTGTAATAATATCAAAATCAGTCAAAGTCGCAGTTTTTGAGATATTCCGTGTTTCCGTAGTCCGTTTTTGAGAAAATCCGTGTGGAGAACTCCAAACTCCCATCGGACGCGACCCCGGGTGGCGGATAGGGGAAATAACCGCGGACCAAGATTGGAAAAATTCCTTTACTTTGAAACTAAAAGAACTGCCTACCAACTTTTTATTAACATATTTTAGTATGGGCGGCTATGCGTGCCTCCCGGCGCCAATTTTTTCTAAGATAATTATGACTAGGCGCTCGCACATCACCATTATTATAAAGAAATAATCTACTATTTCGATTACTAAGTAAATATAAACAGTGCACTTAAAAATAAAGGATTTTAATATTAGTAGATTATGTTGCCGTGCAACTTGACTTCGTAATATATAACACTATACATACTATTATATAATATCTCAATAATATTCCCAATTGTGTATAACTTATACTTGTGAGTTGTTTTTAAAAAGG